TCACTCATAAAGCCTAAGGGTTACATTAATTTGAGTTTGAGAAAATACTCACTCGACCTTTAAGCTTAAGAGCTACATTACTTCGAGTTCGAGAAACCATTTTTACTCGGGGACTATATACAAAGCCCAAGGGCTACCTTATTTCGAGTTCGAGTAAACACTCACTCATAAAGCCTAAAGGTTACATTAATTCGAGTTTGAGCAAACACTCACTCGACCTTTAAAGCCTAAGGGCTACATTACTTTGAGTTCGAGCAACCATTCTCACTCGGGGGCTATCTACAAAGCCCAAGGACTACCTTATTTCGAGTTCGAGTAAACACTCACTCATAAAGCCTAAGGGCTACATTAATTCGAGTTTGAGCAAATACTCACTCGACCTTTAAGCCCAAGGGCTATATTACTTCGAGTTCAAGCAACCATTCTCACTCGGGGACTATCTACAAATCCCAAGGGATACCTTATTTCGAGTTCGAGTAAACACTCACTCATAAAGCCTAAGGGCTACGTTAAATTCGAGTTCGAACAAACACGCATTCAACCATTAAAGCCTGAAGGCTACCTTAATTCGAGCCCAATAAATGAGGGGACTATCCACAAAGCCCGAAGGCTATGCAGTTCAGATTCGAATTATTTCCCCGAATCGGAGACTATATATCAAACTTAAAAGGCTATTTTGCTTCAAAGGGAGAAAGTTTATATACAAATCTTGCACAAAGGCAACTCGGCCTAAAGGAAGTTATTTACAAAAACCGAAAACAGCCTTACAAGAAAAAACAACAACTACCTAAGGTCCTAAATAGCTTGATCTTTATCGGAGACCGTGTTCTCATCATCTTCCTCACCTTCAGACTCGCTCGAGCTATCAGAGTCTTCCTCAGGGAAGGCCAGCTTTCGAGCTTTGTCTTCCTCCGCCCTGGCAACTTCAATCTCGGCCCCAACATCAAAACCCTGAGCATTGACCTCTTCGAGAGCTTCTCGTCGAGCCTGCCATTTAGCGTGTTCGACCATGCTCTTGGATTTAGCTTGGTTGACCTCAACATCGATCCTGAATTAGGCCACTTTAGCATCGTGTCTTTTATTGGCCTCGATGACCTCAGATATGGCCACCTCAAGTTCATCAGCCAAACCCGCTTTATCAGAAATAGCCAAATCCAACCGATGTTGAAGCTCCTTCATCTTCTCGATCAGCCCCGAGGCCTTTTCTTTCGCAGAAAAAAGTTGGGCCTCATACAACTCTAACTGATCTTGAACGGCTTCCTTTTCGAGGCAAGGATATCCATATTCATTTTAAATTCTTCCGCCTCATCCAATAGCCCATCTACCTGTGAGTTAAGCCGTCCAATCTGCTCGATCCTCTACCAAACCTACATAATCGGATTGTTAGTGGTTATCTCATTATCATCTTCACTATCATGAAAAATTCAGAATACCTGCTCAACCATCTCCTTGTGCTCTTCTCGAGCTGTTGTCAAATCTGCTCGAAGTTTTTCACTAAGAAGCTTGTAAGAGCCACTCTTCTTAGTGAGGTTCCGAACCTCAGCCTCATGTTCCTCTCGGATTCGGAGGAAGGCCTCGTGATGCAACATCGAAGCCTACAAACATGAGGAAAAATGTTAGAATTATGTACAACTCTAAGTAAAAAAGAAACAGTAGAGATGCCATCAGAGTTACCCAATTCAAAGCATGCTGAGCCTCGTTAAAATGATAGGAGGGCCCTACCGCATTCATCACTGATTGATACTCTTCGGTCACCAAGGACCGAAGGTAACTAGCAATCCCCACGAGGGGAGAGAAAATTCGGGTATCCTCAGGCACGGAGAGCACTATCTTCCACATACGATCGGGATCAACACTCGGGGTCGGGAATCGGTCCACCAGTTTTTGAACCGATGAAGACCCAGCAGAACTTGACCATGATGCTTTCTTTGGTATCGATATTCCACCAAAACCAATAACCTCCTCCGAGGCAGCCGACTCGAGCCTATCCAGAAAACTGTGGATATCGGTCGGCTCCTAAATACCCTCGAAGGACCGACCTGCCAACATGCTAGCCTCAGAGATCATAGCATCCGAAATGTGAGGGGATCCGCTAATGTCAATTATCCCGAGCTCATCCCTCGAGGAATCTTCTGCTGCCCGAGAAGTCCTACCCTCGACCTCCCCTTCAATCATCTTAGCTCGAGACGGGATAGTCTCAGTATTTTCTTGTTCTGGGATTATGGCCAGGATGCCGTTATTCACTTCCGCCGATTCGGAAGATTGTTGTATCACAACATTAGCCCGTACACAGGCTAAATCTTCTTCTCCTTCTTCGGGCTTGTCCCTTAATTGGTTAATCAGTTCCAAAGGCATGACACCGGAGCCCCCCTTTGGCTTGCGAGATTTCCTAGCCGGTTTTTCTTTTTCCAAACTAGGGGAACTCGGTACATCTTTTCTCTTCCTTTCTCTAACCTGATTCGGTACAGGAACCTCTTCATCACCAGATAGGGGCCTCATGATAACATCCTTCCCGAGTCCTACAAAGGAAAAAGGAGGATAAATAAGTAAAGAAGAACAAACAACAAGCAAATCGAGAAAGAGACTCACCATGACTACGGGCCTCCCATCGACCCTTTGACAATTCTACCCAAGCGCGCTTGGAGTACGGTCTCTGTGACACCAGACCTTCAAACCATTGTTTAAGGTCCGGAATCGGTTCCAGCATCCGAGCTACGACTGTGACAAGAAGGGCAAAAAATAGATCAAGAAAATGAAAGGCAGTCTCAAAATTAAAACGAACAAAGGGAAACAATTGCTCACGGTTCATGTCCCATTTCTCAAGGAACGGCAGGTCATCAACAGGGATCAGGTCCGAGGTTTTGATTCGAACAAAATGACCCATCCAACCCCGGCCATGGGTTTCATCAATACTCGAGAAAGACGCTTTGGTTGCTCGGCGAGCAAGCTTGATTAAACCTCCTCGGTAAAGTCGGGGACTATAAAGGCGCATAAGGTGATCGAGGGTGAAGATACGCCCCTCAATTTTTCTCGAGAAAAATTAGAGAAGAATCACTATCCTCCAAAAATAAGGATGGATCTAGCCTAGGGTCACGTCGTATCTCTTGCAAAAAGTGACGATGACGGGGTCTAAAGGACCCACCGTGAAAGGATAAGTGTAAACACTTAAGAACCCTTTCACATGGGTAGTAATTGATTCATCAGGCGATGGGAATACTATGTGCTTATCATCCCGGTTGCATTCTTGTTTAACTTCTTGAGAACTTTCTCGGTGATTGTGCACTGGTACCTTGACATCGGCTCACATCGGCCCGGTACCGGAGAGGGTTTTTCAATTTTAAAATCACCAACAATTGAACACCCTATCGGAATGAATTCCTCAGGGCAAGGCTCCTCCACATCCTCGCCACCGGCGGGTCGTGATGAAGAAACGACCTCTTTTTGCGGAATGATTTTAGATTTTTTGGCCATCTAACTTTCTGTGGACAAAGATCGGAAGTATTTGGTGTTTTCAGAAGAAATTTGCAGTGACAGTCACAGATCTGCAGATGAAGAACATAGAAGATTTGAAGGTTGGAAATCTGAAAATGAAAAATAGTGAAGAGAAGGGCTATTTATAGATTAGGCAATGGCGGTTCAGAATCAACAGTGGTCGACCATCGTCTGACTCACATTTATTGCCTTGATAACTGAACCGATGGGACATCTATTGCGTACGTCATGATCGAGCTCGATGCAAACGTCAGTATATATCTAGTCATATCATTGAAAAATCATGTCGTTTCTCGCCACATCCTTCCCGAGTAACGATAGGACTATCTGTATACAGTCAAAATCGATTTCGACTTTCGTATAATTAATCAAGATTTAGGGACCGATCAATACTGAAATCAAAGTCAATATCGAGCTATGATATGAAGAAGTGTTATCGAGCTCAAGAGTCAGGGCCCGAGTCAATACCGAACCCGAGTTAATATCGAGCCCGAGTCAATATCGAGCTCGAAACCTAGAGATCGACCACTACCAGGTCTGGCCAAGATAGAGCTAAGAGACAAGAGCTATTATAGCTGTCGTAAGGGAGAGAATCTCGGCGGGAATTAAGGAAAAAATAAGTAATTAATCTATCATGGTATTCTCACTATGTATTTTTAATTATATTCAAAGTAGGATCCCTCCACTATAAGAAGAGTGGCTATCATTTCTGTAGATGGGAGACCAAGACATCTACACACTCCCATATTGAAAAGATTATTGATATTCATAGAGAGATTATCCTTTTTTGGGCTTTGTACATTGATTCGTCTTGCTTGTTCGTATATCGTTTTCCATTCAATTTGGTTTGTATTTTATTCTTTTTACAGTCAATATTCGATATATTTCTACTTACTTTTCCGATTTGTACCAAGTTATACCACATATCTTTAGAGCTACATATAAATTCAACTCTATCCATTTTTCGGATAAACAATCATATCCGAGAGTTGATAAGTGAAGAAACTCTTTCCCTGCAGAAGATATCAGTATCAAAGAATCTGTCAGACATGTTGACCAAAGTTGTCGGTGTTGACAAACTGAGGTTGTGCACTGCCTCAGTTAGCCTTCAAGATTGATAGGGTGAATACGCCACCAGAGAATAGCAAATCTTTATTTTAATTTCTTTCTTGATGTAACATAGGTTTGAGGGGGAGATTGATAGTAGCAAACTTGTTATTGTATGTGAAAGAAAGAAAAGTGGACAAAACAAAAGAAAGAAAAATCAAAAAGAGATGAACTTATAATGTAAGCGCTTACATCGGCATTCTTATGATGTATGCGCTTACACCGCCATTCGTATGATGTAAGCGCTTATATCGGTATTCCTATGATTTAAGCGCTTACCTCAGCAAGGCATTCAAATGCCTATAAAAGGGATATGCATTTTCATTTGCAAATCATCCCTCAATTTCTTCTTTCTCTCTTCAATTAATAAAGAGATATTCTTTGTGTGGCCGTGAAGTAGGCAAAATTGCTTAACCACGTAAATCTTGTCTTGTCTTGTACAATTTATTGCTTCTCTTTCAAATATTTTTCTCTTCTATTAGCCTCACACGTTTCCCAACAGTTTTCAGGAACGTTTCTCAACAGTTTTCAGGAACAGGGTCCGCAGAATCATCCTCATCCAAAACAACATATTCTTCTCCGACTTCCAGGAGAAGCATCTGAGTTTCCATTGGAACTTCGCTTCCTGATTTTTCCTACACGGGGAATCATCCACCAAATCTTCACAATAAAGAGGCATAAGAATTTGTAATCCCTGCAAAAAGTAAAAAGAAAATAACTTTGGCAGATCAAATCCTTAATGCTAGCAGTTTTACGAATATTTTCAATTATTGAGATACTTACTCATCAAGAACTCCAAGGTTAAAGACGTGATGAGAACTAATTGTCATTGATTTAGCTCCCAGAAATGCAGAACTGGAGCTTGCTGATGTAATGACAATATTTTCTGGCACCCCAGTTAAGACAACTTTGCCACGCACCGTGAGACATTCATCTTTAATTATTGGACCACCTGTTATTGTCATGCTTGTTAATTGTTCCTCAGCAACTCTACTTGAAAAGCTGCAGAACTTAGTATATACTGAAACTTTAATAATAAGATACACAACTCCAAGTAGCACAAGTAGAAGAATACATATTCAAAAAAGCCTAGCTTAGTGCTAACGAAAATGACAATGCCAAAATCCTAAGCAACTCCTCTAGATGTAAAGTGGATAGATGTAACTGATAATTCAAGAAACTGAAACTATTGAGACTAAGATATTAATTGGGAGCTCTACTGAGAACTCTATTAAGAGGTATTTATATGGGTGATTCAGGAGAAAAATATCAAAGCCAAGGGTAGCAAGGAAAGGAAAAAAACATGCCATCGGACAATTTATTGAAAGCGATTGATGTTGGAGGAAACAGCAGACAGATTTTTTTTTTTTTTAAGTAAATGATTTGGGACAAGATTAGATGAATTAAACGTCGAGTCAATGATTTGGGACCAATCCAAGTGGGATTGACATGGGTATGAGTCATCATCGAAGGTTATTTCCCCTATAATTACCAACCATTCGATAAAATCAAGCAATCCATGAGTTTAGCAGCCAAGAGAATCGAGACTAGGTTGTCCAATCTCATCAGCAAATGCAATATTTTAGGTTCTTTTTACGGAGGGTTACAAATTACAATTAGCTTCATCTTTTGTACTCACTATGGTCAAACGTCACTGAAGTATTATTTTTACACGAGAAATTATTTTATTTTTCTTATAACACATTACACATGTGACTCTAAAATCTAAGCAGTTCAAACTATTCTCTACCATAAGAGCTGAAACTGAAGTTAATTAATTATTATTATCATCTGCCTGATCTAGATAGATCCTTACAAGAATTAATACTAAATAATTAATCACATGCTTCTTGACACACTAAAATCAAAACGGAAAAAAGAAAGAAAGAAAAAAAAAAAAAAAAAAAAAAAAAAAAAAAAAAAAAAAAAAAAAAAAAAAAAAAGACGTTCAACTTAGATGAAGCTGCGCACAACCCCCATATCTGAATTCTGAAGGGTCATTAAAAGTTATATTATTAATAAAAATAGTATAGTAACTTGTGGTGATTGTCTATTGTCATAGTATGCACGAGATACGCCAAATGAAATTAGTAAGGTGCACGTTCCAAAAGTATAGTATTTATATTTGCTACGTACCTTATTATAATTAATTTCTTGGAGATGCAGCACAAGAATAAATCCAATGTCTATTTTACCCATTTACTGTTACAGCGTGAAGGATTTTGCATCTCGCTTGAAAAAGGAATTTATGTTTTCTACCTTCTTATCATTATATGATGTTGGAGCGGCGAATATAAGACGAAGTAGCACTATGATGCAAAACAAATTGCAGGCCTAAGAATAAAGATTTTGGATGACACGCTTGATCACAATGCCTATCATTAAACTTACAAATAAAACATAAATCCCTACAGAGGAACCCGTTTGATATTTTGAACTGAAGCCAAAACACCTGTTCAAACACTCTGAAGTCTAAATGTAATATCAAATAGAAAGATAAATGTGTGGAAATAGGAATCCTGAAACATGAGCATTTCCATTCAGACTGCTATCTATATGCTACATCTTCAAAAAAGCAAGTAGGTGACGGACAATACAAATTGGTGAGAGATACCTATATGTTACATCTTACAGAGGTGCCAGCCGGTGACAAACAATACAAAATAGTGAGAGATTACAAAATTGAGGTGAAGAATCTCAACAAGATTAACTCCGGAAAGGAACAGTAACCGAGTCAACTGGCTGGATCTTAGCAGGAGATGTCTTTACCAAAAAGTTCACTTATTCCTTTAGTAGGATCTGGCTGTTTTACAAGTGACTCTCCAACTAGAACCTACAGAGATGCGAAAAAACGCTATCATCATATATAATTGACAAAGACAAAGGGTATAAATCAGAATATTGTATTGATCAGAATGAATGTATCATGGTAGATGGTGATAAACATAATTTTCAAATGAAGACAGAAGGACCTAGGCAAAATCATATTCGAGGAAATAACACTACTATCCTCTAGTGTCCGTTTTGGAATAGTTATATACTGCCGTTATTATGAATATCAAAATTATTAAGGCAGCTTACCGCTTTGACACCGGCTTCTTGTACATAAGCAATATCAGCTGGAGTAAATAGTCCAGACTCCCCAACCACCTGAAGAATTAAAGTAGAAATTAACATCACAACTTATTGGGAGAGAAAATACTAAAATAACAGCTTAACATGATGTATTGAAGATCTTACAATTATGCCCTTCTCACGGATCCTTTCTCCACGCTCTCCTTCAAGAAGCTTTTTGGTATTGCTAATGTCCACCTTGAAAGTTCCTGGTAATAGAAGAAGTTGATTTAGTTGGCAAGTTGTAGACAATTGAAGAGTACAATGATCAAACATGTTGCTTATAACTTTATTTATTATGTTTGTACATTTTTCCCTAGCATATGTAGCCAGAAAGCATGACTTTCTATGGAAGTGAACAGGGATTTAGAATCTCTTACTTAATGTAGGAACCTTGATCTTTTTATCCAGAGTTCATTTTGTTTAATTTCCTTATAGAGCTAGTTTACATCTTAAC